CAAACAAAGAGGAGAGAAAGAAAATATGCATGCATACACAGAATTTAAGTTAATCAAATAACCTACCGCATTTAAAAAGAAGAAGAATGAAGGTTACCTAACGGAAAACCAAGAGCAGATTCAGGCAGTACGCATAACCGTTCCAAGTATTGGACTACATAATAGCAGCATTTACCTGTAAATGCTTGTTCGAAGTCAATGTCGACTCATTGGATAATGACAGTGTAGTAGCAGCTTGAACTGAGTGGTCATTTTGTTTCCCTTTTCTCCTTTAAAAGAAAAATGATGGCAACATTTTCGTTCAGTAAAATAGTTAATTGATCTAGAGTACAAGATTGATGACTAGCAGATTAGCTATGGCTGCACACTTCACTTGAGAGACCCGTGAATTGTGCATGTGCTTCATAATGTATGTTTAAAATGTATTGTAACCTCCAATAATCACCTTTCTATAAAATATACCTGTAATCTGATATATGATCATATTTTTTAGGTAACTGAAAGGAAGTAGTTACCTTTTTGTATCGCAATCCCGAATTCCTTTACTCCCAAAGCCTGTATGGCTCTCATAGAGATGGTAAAGACTAAACAACCAAGCATTAAAGTCAGGATAAATTGGCTCATCAAATAATGATTATGCGTTTATAATTCCCCCAAATCACAAGAGGTATCAGGGAAGCAATCCCATTTCTTTTTCTCCTGAACGTATTCAGCAGTGCCCCATTTCTGCAGTAGTTAAACGCTGCCTCACTGTCTTGGTATCCATGAGCTTTCTGCTTTGAATTGAGTTTATCCAATTATCTTGCAGGTGTGACATCACTGGAGCCCAAGAAAGCCTAGGAGGCAGAGAAAGTGCTGCCGGTTGAATAGGAGATAAGCAAATGAAAAAGATGCAAATGGAGAAAAGTTATTTAGACTTTTTTTTTTTGGATGTCTAAGCTAATTGGTCGCCAGAGAGAAGTTGCTGATGCAGTGGTTTTGCAGCCTGCTGTGAAGCCACCCACTCTACAACTCAAACAAAAGCTCAGAGGCGCCGTGTGCACAACCAATACACACAAATACTAGAAAGCATCCACCATAGCTCTTGTCACACCCTACTTCGCTTGCTTCACAATACTCGCCACAAAACAAATTAGACTTCATTGTGTTCTTGTCCTTTGTATATTTTTTTCTACTGGCTGTCTTTTGTCCGGGAAATGTTAAAAGCTGACTTTTAGTGAGCCGAAATGTCCTGCTTTTGTCCTTTCCATGAAACATTTCAATCGCTCACCTGCCATTAGCCAACATGATCTGTCTGCCAGAGTCACATTTTACCGAGAGATGTAGAACTGCTCTCTGCACACCCCATTAGAAAGAGCTCAGATAAGCCTGGGATTCTATGCATAACATATGTGCACTCTCACACACAGGTGCACAAATGCACATAGGCCTACATTTACACACACGCATTACACGGTTAGGCGCCAAGTGGGCATGCTGTTCCTTCAAACCTATACAGTTGATAAAGATGCAATAAAATAAACCCGAAGAAAATGAGAGGAGTTCTAATGAGCTGCAGAGGGAGAGGAGGACACCTGTTTGTTTATACAACCTTCCACTAACGCTGTTTGGTTAATCACCTGAGGCGCTGCTGGGGTGACGCTTATCTGCATCACAATGGAGGGGTCGGTCTGCTCTAAACACAGAGGACAGATGCTGTTCCATTTTGCTTTGGCTTTTCAGTTTTAATGCCTGCTTTTTTGCCATGGACACAGATGCAGATGTTCTGTATTGTGCTGCACCTGCAGTTCCAGCCCAGCTCCCGCTTGCCAAACCATCACAAAACAGCCAGACTGGTGTACTCACAATGAGCCGAGTCAAAAAATACCTCCCCTCCCATCAAAGTTGGAAATGAAAGACATCAAAAACGATTTCAATCTCACCTCAATTTTCTCTCAATAGTTGTCTGCAAAGTAGTCCTCTTCTATCACAAATAAAGAGAATCCCATTACATATTTCTTATTTTTTACTGGCTCTTTTGCCTCTGAAGGCCTCTCACCAGCTGTAGTTACCACTTTATTTGCTGCCGCCATAAAGGTGACTTATAAGCTGTTATCACAAGGCCGGCAAGAAACGTCAATACAAGATTAAAAGGTGTGAGCAGAGAAAGGGACAGACTTCATTACACACATCAAGTTGATGTAGAGCTACAAACACCTATTGATATGTGTGAGACATACGGGGTAGTTGAGGGGTTCGATTGAGTATTGTCCTTTCATTGACACCTATTGACTCCCATTGATTTGTCAGATGAAACGGGCTGATGGGGAAATCTTATTTGGCTCGACATTCATTTTCACACAATGGTAAATGGTACGGAAGATGGATTTCGGAAATTGATGAGGACAATGGAAGAGTACCAATGTTTTTTAATGCATGCAATTTTTTTTCGATTATTATAATCTCACATGAATGTAGCACTAACACTCTTTCTCTTGTACTAAAAAAACGAATTTTGTGTAAATCCCAGGGAAACGGATCATTCTAAAATGAATGACTTCTTTCAGTAGATTGAATAAAATAGGTTATTCCATGGCCAATGCACTAAGTTTCATAAAATAAAGCCAGTTGTTTTTTATTATCTTGGTTACAAAACAACAAAGAGGCAAAAAGTTAAAAATAACTCAAAACATAACCTCTTTGGCGGTGGTGAAAACATGTAAAACAATGTACTGTACAGAGATAACATAAACCGAAGTGAATTAATCATCATCATCCTACTGAATACTTTATAATCCAAAAATTACATTTCTACTGTCACTCACTAATTTTTATGGAAGACTAATCCTCCAGTGACTCATCATGAGCCTGAGAGACAAATAATTCTGCAATTAATTACCCCACAATTATTATAGAGTTTGACAAAAAATAAATAAACGAAAAACAAGAAAGACTTCACTATGATGTATTGCAAAGTTTTAAGAGCCTGCCAACAGATTTTCATTACCCATGAAAATAAATGGAAAAATAAAATGGCTGAAACAGTAAAACAACAACCACATTATGGTGTGCCAAATGCTTAGCTCTAATATAAATTGCATTTGATTTGTTCTTCAAGAGCTGAAATATGCAAAAACAGTAGTGTGGTCCTTAAAACATAAGTGTGTTGATATTCTATATTTCTCCTATTGTCAACACATTAAATGAAAAAAGCCAAACAACTTTGAGTTCATTTCAGCCTGTCCTCCTACAAAAAACAGCCAAATAGGTCGATTGTTCAGCAGCTTATTACGACCCATAGTCACGTTTTAAAGTTAGACCCTCCAGAAAAACGCGGGCAAAAATCCTTGATTATGCGGGCTAAATTCCTTGATTATGTGGGCTAAATTCCTTGATTATGTGGGCTAAATTCCTTGATTATGCGATTAAACATGCGGGGTTTTTATGTGATTTTATGCGGTGAAATTGCGGGAAGTTGCGAAATATGCGGAAAGTTGCGAAATATGCTAAATATGCGGGGAAAAAGAATAACAATTTTTTTAAATATTGGGCTGTCTTATTTATTCTCTCCCACACACACCCTGCCACTAACGTTAAACCCCTTTACTATTCAATTAAACACATTCAATGTTTATTTATTGTAAAAGCAATTGGGCTATTTTAATCTCACACACACCCCCCCCCACACACACACACACACACACTTCTCCGCCTCATTCTGTTTTCATTTACTCGTTCGTTATCTGACCAGCTTCAATCTTGTAGGCTACTCACTTCGTTTCTTGTAGCCCTCGAAAGGGTTTTGGAGGTTGATGCCTCGGTGAACATGAGTTGAATGGCTTTCTTGTCCGCAGCAGCAGAAAGCATTTTCGAATGTTTGAATGAATCAAAGTGGGTCGCACGTGATTTTCTCTTATGCTCAACACACAGTTGCACGGGGTGCAGAATAGTTTCCCCCCACTTTTTGCCCGGTCTTTAGTAGAAATGTTCGTTGGTAAATGAGCTCTATACAGTGTTGTTTACATTCTGTGATGCGCGAGCTGATGACGTCACGTCAAGACGAGTT